AAAATAAAAAATAAAAATTACAGCAGAGAGCCTATCTGATAAGTTAATGAAGTGACTTAGAAGGTAGTAAATGTGAGATAATTTAACACTGCCCTCCAGAGGTTAGTTCATGTATGTGCACTTTAATAGTCAGCCACAGTGGAGAAATCACTATAATGTAATAATGTGACTTTTACTGTACTTGAAGCAGCGCAGTGTTTTTAGGATCTAGAAACACTGAGAGACTCATCCAGTCCTGAAATGTTTATCAAGTTATTTCAGAGTAAAATGAGCTGCATGGCTCAGGTCACACTCCTGTATCCCTATGTAACATATGATTTGAGTTCATTCCTGAAGAATAGATGTTACAGATAGCGATCATTATTTTTCACAATGTAAAAGTCTCTTGTCAAGCTTCTTTTTATGTAAAGGTGTGGAAAAAAAAAAAACAACTGTTTCCAGCAGCTGTTGGTGCTAAAGTCTATGATGACCCTGATAGCCAGAGAAAACAGTCAGCATTAAATAAAATAATAATATCTTGTTTACATTTCAAATCGATCCTCCCAAGACATCCTGAGATTTCAGGCACAGGAAACCCAAGAACTGAACCCCTGAGACTTACTGATCAGATCGGCACTGCTCTCCATCCAGTAATCAGACTGAAACAAATTAGGATCACATTAGCAAAAGAAGACTATTGGAGAAATGCTTAGAATGTATTTAACAAACTTATTTCTCCAGTCTGCTATTTCTCTGTTGTTGTTTTTGTTTTTTATCTGGTAGTTTCTCTTTTTGTTTAGTTTTGTATTCCTGAGTGTCCCCATTTTTGGCTTGTCTGTCAAAGCTGTATTTAAAATTTGCTAATAAATAAAGTTATTATTACTAGCAGTAGTATTTTTTTTAGACTTTCATTATATATATTCAGACTTTCATTATGTATATTCAGTTTCATTCCATATATTCCGAATTTGAGATTATTTATATATTAAAATTTCCTAAATGCCACAATAATACGACTGAAGCAACATCATTGCTGCTTCAGTGGTATATTATTATTATTATTATTATTATTATTATTATTATTATTATTATTATTATTATTATTATTTACCTGATGTACTCCTGTCAACTGAACCGCAGAGTCCCGAGGACGGTTGCTTGGTAACAGCTGTAGAGGGGGGTTGGGCGAGCCGCCGCACCCCTCGCCTCTGATTGGTCAACACCGTGAAGTTTTCGCGCCAACGCGCTGCATTGTGGGGATTGGTAGCGGAAGTCCGCCGGTGGTCGGCGTTGTTTGGATGCGGACAGAGCAGTATTTTGGTGTTTCGGTTTTAACTCCGGGAGGATTTTAAACTTAGACTGTTTCCCGTTAACTCGGACGGATGCGGGGCGAAGAGTCTTCGGATTCGGAGTCGGGGAGGATGGAGGAGAGCTCGGTGCGGAGGAGCCTGGAGACGCTGTGCCAGGAGCTGAACATGGACGAGCAGACTGCCACTGAAGCCATGGACAACTTCACTGCCATCTGGAACACTTACACTCTGGAGGTGAACCTTTAAATATCCTGTAGCTGTTTATTGATCTCATCGCTCTGGATGAACTTTTATAAACTTTGAACAGTAAACTCTGTAGAGCTAAACTCCGTTGCATTGTGGGACACAAACACTGGAGTTAAAGGGCTTCACTGAACCACTGCTTTCATTTTCCAGCCTAGAACCACAACAAGCCCATTGACATACATTTAATTGTCAATTATTTTTTCTAATCATATAACCTTGTTGAGTTATTTTCAAATAAGAGTCAAAAATCTCCGGTTTTAGGGTCTCGGTCAGGTAGATACTGTGTTCAAGGTCCCATTCTGTGCTCCTTATAGACACATGAGGGAAATCTCATGTCTCTCACATTTCAGCTCAAAATATTACAAAGCGTTCATTTTACCATGACTGTATAAGTCCTGCTTTTTAGTTTTGTTCTAAATTTGTTCTGTTTTAGTGTCTGTCCCTTTAAATGCGACTGAGCTGCTGCTGTCGTGAGTTTAGGTTTATGTTGTACTGAAGCACAACAACAACACAGTAACAACAACACAGTAACCCACACAGTCCCTGGTCATTAGCTTCAAATCGCTGTAGGAAGCTTCTTCCTCTTTTCACAGCTTTTAATTTACACCTCCAAGTTATTAATACACTATAAATGTGGTTTTTCACTATATGGGAGCTTTAATAACAACAAAAAGTGACAGTGTTACAGCAGCCTCTTCACATAAATCACTAAAACAAAACTGTTTATAAATAGTAATGATCAAAGAAAAGCAAACTTCTTGTAATTAATGCCATTGTTATTAAAATTCTTGTACGTTTTTGTACAACTCATTGCTTCTTCACTTTAACCTGAGAATATCAGCTAACTCTGACACATGCCAAGTTAAAGGCAGACAAGAGCTGTCCTTTTTACTTGATAAATAACGTCAACAATGAATTAGTTTATTAAAATAGTATCAGCTGGTTAATTCATCAGCTCTACTTTCAAAACAGAATTTCACAGTGTGGGGAATCAGGATTCAAACATTTAGGGCTGCAGTCACATTAAACCTATTATTAATAAATAAAATTGACTTTTAAAAACTATATACCACAATAAGACAAAATTGGTTTAAGAGATTCTCGATCCCATCATTTTTCAGAGGGCAGTGTTTAATTAGGTCGCTATTGTTCTCTAATTGAAATGATAACTGATTATTTGCCTTAAAAGAATATTTTATTGAACCGATGCAAAACAGGTCAATTCAAACTGCAGCAAATGCTGCAGGTTTGCTAACATGTTGTGACAGGACAGCCTGTCTGT